GACTGCATTAAAATTTGTCGTATTTTAATTTCATATCCTTTTATTCCAGGATAATGCTGATTATAAATGACAGTTGATGTTATATTCTGTATGATTTTGAACGTGGATAAAATGTTCGCAGTGTTAGTTGTCATACATTGCTGATGAAATATGTAATCTAGAATTTCAACTATTTTTGGTTTGTATTTTAAAGTAATTAATCCAATTCTTTCCTCTCTTACAAACTGCGTTTTCTTTATTATTATTGTTATTATTATCCAGTTCTATATTCTTTGACATTGAGCTTCGTGTGTAAGGAAAAAATACTTAGGGATATGAAACTCCACTATTACTAGAACTTGGAAAATAGATTATGTGAAGAAGAAAATGAAAATTGGACTAAAAAGTGAACGGTCTAGTTGGCAACACTGCTCTCGCTTTATCTTTCTGTCTTCTATTTTTCTCTGTCTGTCTGTCTCAATCTTTCTCTCTACTACTACTTACTACTACTACCCTCTCTCTCTCTCTCTCTCTCTCTCTCTCTCTCTCTCTCTCTCTCTCTCTCTCTCTCTCTCTCTCTCCCTTTCTCCCTCTCTCCCTCTCTCCCTCTCTCCCTCCCTCCCTCCCTCCCTCCCTCCCTCTCCCTCCCTCCCCCTCCCTCTCCCTTCCTCCCTTCCCCTCCCCCATCCCTCTCCCCCCCTCCCCTTCCCCCTTCCCCCTTCAACACCACCACCACCACCTACCTGATACTTAGCCGTGAGCACGGGCGTGACCGCTGTGATGGCAGAATATCCGTCGGGCAAATGGGCGTCGGGCTGCAGAGACAAGGTCAGGCCAGAGATAACAGCCGCCCGTAACTTGGTCACCCACACCTTATCAGATCCCACCCTCACTTCGCGGGTGCCGATCACGCGCCCACTGATTGGGGAGAGGACCTGTTGGGGGAGAAATGCGAGAGAGGGTGAGAGGGTGAGAGGGTGGGGGGCGGGGGGGGGAGTGAGAGGGAGTGGGTGAGACTTAGTGGGTGATGGTGAGAGGGTGAAGGTGAGAGTGAGAGTGTGAGGGGGTGAGGAGATGAGTGGGTGAAGGTGAGAGGATGAGAGTGAATGGGTGAAGGTGAGATGGTGAGGGTGAGTAAGTGAGTGGGTGAGGGTGAGAGTGAGAGGGAGTGGGTGAGAGGGAGTGGGTGAGAGGGAGTGTATGAGGGGGTGGGTGAGTGGATGAGAGTGAGAAGGTGAGAGTGAATGGGTGAGTGGGTGAAGGTGAGAGGGTGAGACTAAAAGGGTGAAAGAGTGAGTGTATGAGGGGGTGGATGAGAGGGTGAGTGAATGAGGGAGTGGGTGAGTGGGTGAGAGTGAGAGGGGGAGAGGGAGAAATGTGAATGCGGGTGAAAGGGTCAGGATGAAGTTGCATTGTTGTTGATGAATAGAGCTGGTGTTTTTGTTTATTTGTTTGTTTTCGTTGTTGTAATTATTATTTCAGATTAGTATTAGTGTTCCGTCATTGTTGTTTCTTGTTAATGTCACCGCTATTGTCATTAGTATTATCTTCATCATCATCATTAAAGTTATCATCATCATCATCATCATCATCATCATCATCATCAATCAATCAATTTTTAATCATTATTTAATCATCATCAACATCATACTCACCGATCACTATCGCTCATTCCTCATCAGACACACCTGGAACTCATAACTCGTCCCTCATTCCTCATGCCTCATAACTCATTCCTCGTGACACTCATGACCCCATCTCTCCTCACTCATTTCTAATAACACTCACCTGGATCTTATTACTTGTTCCTCATAACTCCTCGTTCCTGGCTCTCCCTACTCCTGCCTCATTCCTCATACTTCATAACTCCTTCCTCACACCTGGATGAGGATTATAACTCATCCCTCCTTCCTCATCTAGACATCCTCACTCGTCCCTTATCGTTCACTCATCACACCTCATTCCTCATACCTCCCACCTCATCCCTTAAAAGTTATCCCTCATTCCTCACACCTCATACCTAATACTTCATCCCTCATCCATCACACGTCATATCTCATTGCTCACACCTCTTCATTACACACACCTCATATCTCATCCCTCACACCTCATATCTCATTCCTTCTCCCTCACACCTCCTCATACCTCATTCCTCACAACTTATTCCTCCTCATACCTCATTTCTCACACCTCATATCTCATTCCTCACACCTTATTCCTTCTCATACCTCATTCCTCACACCTCATTTCTCATTCCTCACACCTTATTCCTCCTCATACTTCATACTTCATTCCTCCTCATACCGCATTCCTCCTCATACTTCACACCTCATTCCTCACACCTCCCCCCCCTCCTCACCTGGACCTCGGTGCGCCCCGGCGAGCGTCCCATGAGCGTGGTGTGGTTGAGGATCGCCACGGAAGTGTCGGCGACGCGGAGCAGGTGCGCCACCAGCTCCGTCACGCGCACCTGTGCTCGCCGCGACAGCAGGTACGAGTGGCGGCCGCTGTTGTCGTCCACGGCGACAAAGCGGCCGTAGACCTGTGAGTTTTTTTTTTTTTTTTTTTTTTTTTTAGGGGGGGAAGGTGTTGGGGGTGTTTGGGGGTGGATGGGGGAGGGTTGGGGGGTGGATGGGTGATGAGGGGGAGGAGGGGTAGGTGGTATGTGGGGGGGTAAGGTGTGGGGTGGGGTGGGATGAGGAAGGTTTTCGGGGGGGAAGAGTGTTTTTTTTTGGGGGGGGGGGGGAGGGGGGGAGGGGAGAGAAGAGGAGGGAGTAGGGGAGATAAGAATGAGGAAGGGGGTGTATCAGGTGTGGAGGAAAGGGGAGAATGAAAGAGGGAGGGGAGGAAAAAAATGGTAGGCGGGGGGGGGGGGAAGGGAAGGGAGGAGGGACGAAAGAAAAGGGTAAAGGAGATGGGATGAAGGGGGAGAGGAGAGAAAAGTCATGAATTATTATCAGTATAGTTTATCCTTCACATGTAATATTGAATGTATTTCAATATTTTCTTTGTCATGAAAAAAAACAACAACAAGAGATGATAGATACTTAGATAGATAGATGGATGTGTAGATAGATAGATAGATATTTAGATAGACAGACATCTTGATAGATAGGATAATATTTATATATATATATGATATATATATACATACATATATATATATATATATATATATATATATATATATATATATATATATATATATATATATATATATATATATATATATATATATATATGTATATATATATATATATTTATATATATATATATGTATATATATATATATGTATATATATATATATGTATATATATATATATGTATATATATATATATGTATATATATATATATGTATATATATATATATGTATATATATATATATTATATATATATATATATGTATATATATATATATATGTATATATATATATATGTATATATATATATATATATGTATATATATATATATATGTATATATATATATATATGTATATATATATATATATATATGTATATATATATATATAATATATATATATATATATATGTATATATATATATATATGTATATATATATATATGTATATATATATATATATATGTATATATATATATATAATATATATATATATATTATATATATATATATATATATATGTATATATATATATATAATATATATATATATATATATATATGTATATATATATATATTATATATATATATATATATATATATACATATATATACATATATATATATATATATATATATATATATATAGAGAGAGAGAGAGAGAGAGAGAGAGAGAGAGAGAGAGAGAGAGAGAGAGAGAGAGAAAGAGAGAGCCAGAGAAAGAGACAGAGATCGAGTACAGAGAAGCGAGCCGCCGCGGCAGCGCGAGCGCGCCCCCCTCACCTGCACTGGCGTCTGCTGATAGCGCACGGAACACGCCCCCGAGTACGAGGACGCGGAGGCGGGGGGCGAAGCGGGGTCCTCCTGCGGCGCCAGGGACAGGTCCTCGTCGCTGGCCGCTCCTCCTCCCGCAGGCATCTTGAGCGCGAAGGCCCCTGGGGAGGCGGGGTCAGGGGCGCGCCACCCCCTCACCTGCGACAGCTTGGTGTCCCCAACGTGCACGGTGAGGGGCAGCTCGGGCATCCAGACGGTGAAGGAGGCGACGCCGGACCGCTCGCCGTAACGGGCGATCACCGTCGCGTTGTGGCTCCCGCGGACTTCCGAGCCGTCCATGTAGACCGAAGTACAGGAGGCGGATACCTGCGTGGGCGGGCGTGGGCGTGGAGAGGTTAAGACCCATGGAAAAGGTGAAGGAAAGAGCGGGGGGTGTCGGCGAGCATGAATTGTTTATGGCAGTTCCCCCTCTTGTCATAGAAAACGAGAACCATTTACGCTTGTGACGTCACACTGCCTACGCTATTTGTTAAATATTTCTTTCTCTACGAGTCTTTTAAGTATTTTATGAGGAAGGGGGTTTGGAAAACTTTTTGGGGGCTCTTTTTTAATACAAATGGAAAATTCTGGAACAAACTTACATATACACTGGAAGGAATCCAACACTTTTTGAAAGTATATGCTGATATTAATGCGATTTATTAAAAGAAGGAAGAGAGAAAACAAACATATTTCTACCTATACTGAGCAATCATTCATTATTGGTGAAAATTAAAAACACACATGCACACAAATACACACACACACACAAATGCTCACACACAAACACACACACTAACACACTCACGTATACACACCCAAACACACACAAAGACACGCACACACATACACACATCCACCTACATATACACACATAAATACACACACACACATATATACACACACACGCACACAAACACACACCCGACCCCTATCCCTATCAAGTTTCTTATCACCAACGAATCTGTGATAATGTCCAGTTTGTCCTGATATGTTTCTACGACATTTCTCTCGATTGTGACCAAGATGTACAGGGAAAAAGGTAAAATTATTGCGTGTTTTGTACTGACGTGATCGAAACTCTCGTGAAACATGGTACGAATATTTCTTACAGTCTGGCCAACTTGCACACACACACACACACACACACACACACACACACACACACACACACACACACACACACACACACACACAGAAGAAGAAGAAAAAGAGTGACTATCATCGCCACGTTATGAAAGAGGACGGTCAAACCTTTTTGTCAAAAATGTTTCATATTCTGTCTCGAACTCTGTATTTTTTTTATTATTTTCAGATTCGGAAAGTTTCGAAGCTTCATTTAGAACACCACTTTTGTCCGTGGCTGTTCGTAATCTTCTCCTGTGTAACCGTACCTTTAGCAGTGCGAATAGTAAACTCGAACATTCACAAAATCGTAACCCAACCGAACCCGTTTCGAATTCTACTTCGAACCTTCAACAATTCAACCGCAACAAGGTGTTCCGGAGCTTCGGTCGTGTAATGGTAATTTTTGACGATGTCCGTAGAAGTAAATATGCATCTGTAATACGCCTGTGCATTCATTCTTGTATCAGACACGTGTGATATGCATACACACACATGTATATATCAAATCTCTCATCCATACTTACATAGAATCATCCGTTCATCCATTTATACCAACATCCGTGGAAGCTTTGATCCATACGTGGACACAATCCCAAATTAAACGCGAAAAAAAATACAAATAAATAATATAAATAAAAATCAAACATAAGCACAGGAAGAGGTATTAAAATCGAAGATATAAACAAAAAAGAGAGAGAAAAAATAAATAAATTACATACCTTTAGTGCTGCTTTATCAGTGCAGTTGCATGAAGACTGCAAGGTGACATCTGCAACCTTTCCTGCTTGGGACACGATAAGAACTTTCATCGCCCTTGACACCTGTCGACCCGTAAGCACAGCTGTGTTGACCACCGACCAGCTCTGGAAAAGGGGGGGGGGGGAGTTAGTCAAGATTTAAAGACCGGAGGGTAGGGGGGAGGGGGGGGGTGAAGGGGTTGAAAGAAGGGGGGGAGGTGGAATGAAAAGGCTGAGAGAAGGGGGGGGGGGGTGAGAGATGGAGGAGAGAGAAAAAGAGAGATGGGGGGGGGGATGAAAGGGGGGAGGGGTAGAGAGAGAGAGAGGAGGGAGGGAAGGGACTGAGAGAAGGGGGAGGGAGAGAGAGAGGGGAGAGGAGAGAGAAAGAGAGAGAGGGGAGAGGAGAGAGAAAGAGAGAAGTGGGGGGATTGAGAGGAGGGGGGAAGTTGAGAGGGGGAGGGGGGAAGGGAGGAGATAGAAAGAGAGAAGGGAGAAGAGAGAAAGGGAGACTTAGGATGGGGAGACAGAGGAAGAGAAAGAGAGGGAAAGAGAGGAAAAAGAGAGAGAAAGAGAGAGAGGAGAGATGAAGAGAAAGAGACAGGAAAGGAGAGAAGAAGAAAGAGGGAAATAGACAGATAAATAAACAGAAAATAATCAAAGGCAGACCAAAAAGAAATATTTGAGAGAGGTAGAGACAGAAGGAAAGAGATAGACAGACAGACAGAAATATGCAGAAGGCAGTTCATCAGAATGAGTGGGAATCATTGTTAATTATTATCATTATCATAATCATTGCTTGCGTATAATTCAAGTAATCATTTTTCTCCTCTATTATTATACATTTCACTACTACTACTATCATTACTATTATCATTATTGTTATTTTTATTATTATCATTATTATTATTATTACTATTATTATTATTATTATTATTATTATTATTATTATTATTATTATTATTATTATTATTATTATTATTATTACTATTATTACAATTATTGTTGTTATTATTATTATCATTATTATTATTATTATTATTAGTAGTAGTAGTAGTAGTAGTAGTAGTAGTAGTAGTAGTAGTAGTATTACTATTATTATTATCATCATCATCGTTATTATGTTTCTTATTTTTATTCTTATCATCATCGTTAACATTATTATTATTACTATTATTACTATCATAGTTATCACTCCTATGATAATAATAATGATAATAATGATTATTATTAGCATTGCCATTATTATCATCAATATTGTCATCATTGTTATTGTTGTTATTTTTGTCCTTTTTATTGTTTTTGCTTCTGCTCATATTAATATTATTCTTCAATATTGTTATTATAAACTCTGTTTTTATTATTACCAATCTAATCGTGCTCAATATTATCATCTTTATTTTCAATCAAACCTGAGATTGCATCATACCCTGTCTATCCATTTCCCTTTCTCCTATTTCTAATTCATCACTTTCCTTTTTCCCACTAATCTATCTATCTATCTATCTATATTTCCGTACTTTCTCCCCTTCCTCTCTTTCTAAGATGTCTACCTATCTATCTATCTATCTATCTATCTATCTATCTATCTATCTTTCGCAACATTCCTTCAACCTCCCTCCTTCCTCTCTTTCTAAGACGTCTATCTATCTATCTATCTATCTATCTATCTATCTTTCTTTCTATCTATCTCTCCTTCCTTA